TTCTCCTCCGGTGGCGGTGGAGGTTTCTCCTCCGGTGGCGGTGGAGGTTTCTCATCTGGTGTTGGTGGAGGTTACTCCTATGGCGCTGGGGGAGGTTTCTCCTCCTCTGCTGCCGCAGGAGGAGGCTTCAACCTGAACGACGCCATGGACATCTCCGACAACAAGAAGGCCGCCATGCAGAACCTGAACGACCGCCTGGCCTCCTACCTGGAGAAGGTCCGCCAACTGGAGGCAGCCAACGCCGAACTGGAGCTGAAGATCCGACAGTACATGGAGGGCAAGTCCAAACCCGAGGGCCGCGACTACTCTGCGTTCTACGCCACCATCAGCGACCTGCACGACAAGGTGAGACCCGGTTCTGAGCTCAGAATGGTGCGTTGTGTTCGGTACAGCAGAGTCAAAGGTCAAACTAAAAAAATGTTTAACCCAAAACAAACTGAATCCTTCCTAAACCAAAATGCCCTGTGGCAAGACATGACCGACCACACCCAGACAACCAGAACCAGAACCTAAACAGAACCTTTCGGCCTTCTGCTGGTTCACCCGAAATCTTTTATAAAGACGAACTTTACGTCTGAATCTGTTCTTTTTCTGGTTTCAGATCATCATTGCCAAACAAGAAAATGGAGCTGTGTACCTGGGGATCGACAACGCCAAGCTGGCCGCTGACGACTTCAAGCTCAAGTGAGTCTGATCGAGCAGCTGCTGGGTCCAGTTTGACGGAGCCTAAGCCGCTCCTCCTGACTGAACACACTAGATGTGATTAACGCTGTGTTGGACGCGCAGGTTCGAGAACGAGTTGGCGATGCGTCAGAGCGTGGAGGGCGACATCGCCGGGCTGAAGAGGGTCCTGGACGAACTAACGCTGGCACGATCCGACCTGGAGATGCAGATCGAGGCCCTGAGGGAGGAGCTCATCTACTTGAAGAAGAACCACGAGGAGGTGAGCTGAAACGTGAACCCTCCACGGTTTACCAGAGACAAGACTTCTTACTGCGACAGTTCAAATGATCATGAAATGTTCTTGCAGGACCTGCTAGGTATGAGGTCACATGTCAGCGGTCAGGTCAATGTGGAGGTGGACGCCGCGCCCCAGCAGGACCTGACCGCCATCATGGCTGAAATGAGAGACCACTACGAGAGCGTCGCCGCCAAGAACCGCAAAGAGCTAGAAAGCTGGTTCCAGGCCAAGGTGAGTAAAACGTAAAACCAATGATTTCAGCTGAAAGATCTGGGCAAACACGAAGCACACAGACACCTCCTGAGCTGAAACTCATCCAGGAACATGTTTCTGGCGTCATCTAATGGCCGGAAGTGGAACTGCACATCAACGCTGATTTCCTTTTAACAGAAAGTCTTAAAACACCGAAGGAGTTTTAATTAGATGTTACACAATAAATTTAATAATAATAAATAAAATGTTTATGAGAATAATAAATGTTTTCCTAATTGGTGTCTCTGCAGTCTGAGGACCTGAACAAAGAAGTCGCCGTCAGCACTGAAACCCTGCAGACAACCAGAACAGAGTTCAAAGACCTCAAACAGACCCTGCAGAGCCTGGAGATCGAGCTCCAGTCTCAGCTCAGCATGGTGAGCGTCAAACACTCAACATCTGTCTGAAACATCTCTGAGACCACCAACAAACACAAACCTGGCCCAGCTGAGACCGGTAACGAACTGGGACGTGTCCTCTCTGTCTCCACAGAAAGCCAGTCTGGAGGCCACGCTGGCTGAGACGCAGAACCGCTACGCAATGCGCCTGTCAGGTTACCAGGAGCAGGTTTTGGCTCTGGAGGAGCAGTTGGTACATCTGAGGACGGACCTGACCCGACAGGGACAGGAGTACCAGACCCTGCTGGACATGAAGACCAGACTGGAGTTGGAGATCGGAGAGTACAGACGGCTGCTGGACGGAGAGGGAGGCGGCAGGTGAGCTGTCCCAGCTGGGACTGAACCGGGCCGGGCAGATTCTTGAACATGTCATAAAATGCATTTCATAAAGTTTTACAAAGTTCCTTGTGAAGGACTGTGGAGGTTTAGATGTATCTGAGGCAGCAGCCGGTCGGTGAGCTGTGACTCAGACTGTCGACTAAACATGAACTGAAGTCGTGTGTCGTTCTCCTGCAGCTCCTCCTCCTCCTCCTCCAAATCATCAACAACGACGACTCGTAAGGTGGTGATCGTCACCAAGGAGGTCACTGAGGACGGCCAGGTCACGACCGAGACTCAGCAGATCAAGTGAGACGACCAACATCAGCTGTTCTCACAAATAAAACACTACTGAGCAAATAAATATGGTGTGTGTGTGTGTGTTGTTGACCCAAACCAAGAACCAGAACCAGAACCAGAGTCTTCGGTTTGATTTCACTTCCTGTGGAGCTCATTCAGTTACAAGCAGAAGCAATGATTTAAAAAGTCTCATGAACATTTGATCCACTGTGGAGTTCAAACTGAAACATGTTGAGAAACAACGACGTCATTTTATTTGATGGCAGCAACACGAGTCAAACAAAACAAACACGTGCACAATCTGCCTGCTGTGCACGGATCAGCTGTCTGAAGGTGACCTCCAAATTCATTCAGCCTTTACTTCTACAGGTTGGTCTCATTGAGCCTCGTGGACTCATTTACAGAGAGGCCTGATTTAAATAAAGAACAGAAGAGGTACAGACAACAACAATCATATAAAAACATGTCAAATGAAAAGTAAATAAAATAAATAAAACAAAAATGTAACAAAAAAACAGCTACATTATAAAACAATATAAAATACTAAGAACAGGAACATGTCTGTGTTGGTTCTTGCCAGGAACGTAACAGATGTTTGAAGCCACTTAGAGAGGTCAATGTCGAGAGCTTCAGATCTTTTTGCAAGATATTCCAAGAAACAGGAGCGGAGTAGGAGAAGGACCTTTTGCCAAGTTCAGTCCTCACTGAGGGAACACTGCAGGTAATAATGTCCTGAGAGCGCACGCTGTAGCTGCACTCATGCAGAGACATGTAGGAGGAGATGTATGAAGGCAGCAGACCAAGAAGTGATTTAAAGATGAAAATGTACTAGTGGGAGAATCTGTGCGAAGTTAATGATGACCAGTTAACCAGTGAAGACCAGTTAACCAGTGAAGTTAATGATGACCAGTTAACCAGTGAATACAGGGTGCAGTGGTGGGTACGGTAGTTACAGCCAGTCATGAATCTTAGTGCACCATGATGGACAGAGTCCAACATCTGCAGAGTGATGCTGCGTTCAAAGCTGCTGAAAAACTGGGACATCTGAGCCTCACCAGACTTACTCAGTTGTTGGGAAAAGACTCATGCATGTGGTTCTGTTCTGGACCTCATTGCATTAAAACCAGGTCTGGTTCTGGACCTCACTGCATTAAAACCAG